ATTAGTGATAATATAATAGAATACAATAAATGAATATCTGGGAAAACACAGGTGATAGTGTCACCGAATTTCAACCTACCTCGTTATTATTTTTGAAGTGTACGTTCACCCATAGGTTTCCGCGTATGTTCTTGCGTCAATTATTTTGTAGCTGTGTGAAAAAGTTACATTGGGGAGCCTTTGCCCTTAACACTGTTTCTCTCACATCGACAGTGTGTATACCCAGCGATGCTTATGTCTACGTCTGGTGAACACCGGGATTCAGCAATATATATTACTGGGGGTGTGTGTGTGCAATATATCAATTTGTGTTCCCCTAGCATCGTTAGTTTGTTTAGGATACATATATCATTAATGAGGATGAGTTGAAGTTGAGAGTTGAAGCAGTGTTTGAAGTATTTCACAGATACTGTTTTACTTCGCAATACTTCGATTAGACATAAGGACTCCTATTTGAACAGAGACGTGCTGATCATGACTACCACTTGATTACAACAAAACATCATACGATGGCTACCTGTTTCCCAGCCACCCCCCTACTGCCCAAACGAGAGGACGCAACGACGCGAGCGGCAAAGTATACCTGATTCAATAATGTATGACTGAAGAAATTACCAAAATATGTCAGTTAGTCTGTGGTCACATTTTCAGTAAAATGTTGGCGTTAATTTACGTTGACCAATTCTATTATTATTATTGTTGTTCCCTCGGGTTCCTAGTGGAACATAGGGCTTCAACTGCACGTCTCCACTTGTTTCTCTCTTCTGCTGTACTTTTCACCTGCATCCATGTTAATCCATGCTGTTTCAACTCCTCTTCACACGATCTCCTCCATGTCACCCTTGGACGTCCCACTCGCCGCTTCCCTTTCGGGTTCCACTTGAGCGTTGGCCTGACGCGCGATGTTACCCAGCGGCCTCCTCAGCGAGTGAGTGTCCAATCCATCTCCACTTTCTCCTGCATATTTGTTGGGCAATTGGTTCTTGTTTTGTTTGTTCCCACAGTTTGTTTCTTGTTGGTGATTCTTTCCGGCCATCTAATCTTGAGTATAGAGCGAAGACAGTTGTTGATAAAGGTCTGCAACCTGTTGAAAATATTCTTGGTGACCCGCCAAGTTTCTGATCCGTATAGAAGAACTGACTGACTTGACGTTTGTACTGAAAATCCGAATTTTGTTGTTGATGCTGAGTGACGAAGATTTCCAGATTGGTTTCAGGTTGATGAATGTGTTTCTTGCCTACCCGATTCTCGATTTAACATCCTCGTCCGTTCCTCCTGTGGTTGAGACAATGCTCCCTAGATAAGTGAAAGAAGTAACCTCTTTCAAATCCCTCCCGTTGATGGTGATTGACGCTGGATGTTGTTGCTGTTGTTGGTTGGTTATTTTCATAAACTCCGTCTTGTCTATGTTCACCTGGAGTCCTGCCTTTGCTGCCAGCCTCTTCGACCAGTTTGTCGGTTTTCGCTTATAAGTCTTCGATCTTGTGTGACATCAAACATAAATCATCAACGCGCGAAATCCAGGTCTTCTAGGTTCTTCACGTCGGTCCAGGATATCCCTGTCTTCTCGTTTCCCACTGCCTGACGCATAATCCAGTCCACCACAATTAGGAATATCACTGGTGATAATAAGCACCCTTGTCTGACTCCTGTGTTTACTCCAAACGCCTCGCTGAGTTTTCCGTTGTGGATCACTTGACATGTGCCGTTGTCGTACAGCTGTTGAATAAGGTTGATGAATATTTGGGGTACGCCGTAGTACTCGAGTAGTTTCCAAATTTCTTCTCGGTCAACGCTGTCGAAGGCCTTCTCAAAGTCTATGAAGTTGAGGTAGAGGTTTGATTGCCATTCCATGCTTTGTTCGATGATGATGATGCGTAGAGTTGCAATTTGGTCAGAACATGATTTGCCTTTCTTGAATCCAATTCTAGTTGGTTCATTTCTACGCTGGACATCGATCACGATGTCAGCCACATGTTAAATAAAAAGTTATTCAAGTCATCGAATGGTGCCTTGAGTAGTTCTGGTCCCTTTTAAAAATTGTGTAAAGATTACCGTTTTTTGCACTGTCTAAGTAAATAAAATATGCGGGTGACATGTATATGCAAGAACACTTATCTACCTATATAACCGCTGGCTCTGCGTAGGTTGTTGTTCCAACTGAGAACGGCCAGTAACCCTGATGATGTAAATCTGAGTTAGTCCCTGGGACTGAAATATTCAAAGCCTCAGGATGGTCGGGGTTGGGTGCCTTGCGCTGCGGGTTGGCCACCCCTCCGCACACCTCTTGAAATGCTCCCATATGACCAGGCGTCTTACATAGCCTCTCCTGAGGAAGTCCTACTCACTGCCTTCACGTGGCGGAGGTGTTTTTCACCAAAGTGAGAGTGAGAGGGCGAAAGCCGATGCCCGGCGCTCTTCACCGGGTTGACTGTCCATTGGATGACAGTCTAGGGGAGATGGCTAAACCCTGATTCCAAACCTCCAATGACTGGCGTATGAAGCTCACTCGAGCTCACCGGCAGACGTATGGACAAAGGGCTTGTTGGATGTCCTGGATGTCTGTCCCCATTCAAAAAGGCGTATGAACCGAACTCCGGTCACCGGCTGCCAACGGATAGTGGACTCCTTACTCCACTCCTACTGCCTTGTAGGTCACACTTGATTGTGTAAAGGCTAGAGCTGCACTCTCAAACAAAAGGCCGAGCGATTCTGGGGACATCACTCGTACCAAATTCCCATGAAACTTCATGAACTCTTTAGATGTTCATGAAGCCGGCTCATCCTCCCGTAAGAGATAGCCGAAGTAAAATAAGTAAGTAACACAGTAATTTCATCAAAATAAAATTTTCATCCATAATGGTCTCTATGTTGTATATTATCTTGTAAATATACTTTCATTTCATGTATTGTCTATAATTGTATTTTTACCATTTCGGAGTTTCACAGGACGTTCTCCTCTTCCTGATATAACTTGTAATCACTTGAGGGCATAACACCTACGCAAATATACGCTGTTCACTGATTGACCATAAGTCTCAGCACTAAATGAAACGAAGTTTGGGTTGTCGCTCAACATCGATGGTGACCTTTACAATTTAACATTTATATAAACATGTTCTGATTGCTTGTACTATAATCAAAGAATTTAAACTTTTGAAAAAGTGCTAATTCATGATATTTCACGGTTGTAATTTGTAACGTAACTGATGGTGCCTGTAAAAATGGCATGTATTTCTTGTAAACTTACTCGTTTAACGAAAATATAAATTGTTATTATTATTATAGAATTTAGTTTGAGTCCCTCGTGTGAATAGGACTACCATTATTCGGTCACTGTAAATACGTATACCATCGTAACCTACGAATTCTCGATAAAATCGAAATGCACACCTTAAATTTAGTTATGATAAAGAAAATTTGTAGCTCAGGCGGATGTTTTTAAGGTGGTTGTGTTCTCTCAGCTGGGTGGTTTATTCGCGAAGCTTTCGTTGTCCTACGAGGCAATATCTTCAGCGCATACTTCAATTTGAATTGAGGTGAGCTTTTAGATTTCTCCACGAGTTTATTAGTCATCTCTCCAGGTAGCCTTGAACGTGATTGGTTGTCTTTTTTTTTTCTTTCATACGGGCAACCACGGACATCAATTCGACTGGGAGAATTTACACATATCAGACAGAGGAATGCTAGAGAATATTTAGGAGCCAGCCTGATATTCCAGTGAATCGTCAATCAATAGATACATCGAGATAGACAAAATTTACCAATCGATAAGAAGGATATCTCACATACAATAGGTCAAGGAAACAATCAGCACCAATACTAATACAAGTAGCCTAGAGAGTGTGAAAACACACGAAAACAACCCATCGTGTTCAAGTTCACCATGAGAGATGGCTAATAAACTCGTGGAGAAATCTAAATTATTATTATTATTGTTCCCTTGGGTTCCTAGTGGAACATAGGGCTTCAACTGCATCAATGTTAGTCCATACTGTTTCAACTCCTCTTCACACGATCTTCTCCATGTCTTGTTTGGACGTCCCACTCGCCGATTCCCTTTCGGGTTCCACTCGAGCACTGGCCTGACGCGCGATGTCACCCAGCGGCCTCCTCAGCGAGTGTCCAATCCATCTCCACTTTCTCCTGCATATTTGTTGAGCGATTGGTTCTTGTTTTGTTTGTTCCCATAGTTTCTTGTTTGTGATTCTTTCCGGCCATCTGATCTTGAGTATAGAGCGAAGGTGGTAGTTGTTGATAAAGGTCTGCAACAGGCTGTTGGAAATATTTTTGGAGAAATCTAAAAGCTCACTTCATTTCAAATTGAAGTGACGTATGCGCTGAAGATGTTGCCTGCCTAGTAGGTAGGGCAATAATAATGAAAGCTTCGCAAATAAACCATCCAGCTAGCTCAGAGAAAGAACATAACTCCATCAACAACAAGAAAACCTAGCTCAAATTCCACAAGTAAAGAGAATATTGTGTTATCATTCGTGTATTTTTATAAATCATATATTTACTTACAAATTGAGAGAGAGGGAGATCAACAATAGATAGATGATCAACTTCAATGCAAAGTGAACACAATAGCAAACACTAAAGAAACAGACAAATAAATTGTGTAATTGTATCTTTCAAGGAAAGTCAATACAAATATTCATTTATGTATATATAATGAAAGCTCTTGGGTTAAGTTTACTTTCAAGTTAAAAATTTCAGAAAAAAGAGAGAGAGATAGAAAGAAACCGTTAAGGGTTAAATGAGGTTAAAAACCGTGAAAAAACAAACAAAAAACAGAAAGAATAAGGCAAAAATGTGTCAACGCGAGTGAGGAGTAAGTGAGTGAGTGAGTGAGTGAATGGAGGTCATATGTGAGTATACATAAAAAATATAAAGAGAGCTCTCTAAAATATTTTTCTCAGCAGTAGTTGTTGTTGTTGTAATTGGTGTTCAGGATAGACACAGCAATACATCGTCATTATTATCATGATTATGATTATTTAAACTTTCTCTAAAGGTATTATACCATTTTCATCAGCTAACGGTATTATATCACAAAACATTGAACTTTCAACCTATATAGTAGGTGGGGGAGGGGGAGAAAAAACACAAAAGAAAGTAATTGAAATTAAAACTGTTGTGAGAAAATTAAAACAATTAGTCCCTTTGATAAATTTAAATAAGGCATTAAGAAGACAAATTTTCGCGGGATGATATCGTCATTTCGTAGTTTCTTTACAACTGCCGCATCTCTTTTTCTCACATGCCGAACATTTTCGGTCGCAATGTACCTACGATTAAAGGACGAAATCCTGTGGACTCTACTTCGAACTGTATCTACAAGTTCACCTGCAGCTGCGGTGACACCTATATAGGTAGAACCAATAGAATGTTCCAATGTCGTCGGAAAGAATATGTTCCAAAATGGCTACTAAATCATATAGAAAATCCCAATGTAGTTATTAATCTGAATAGAAATCCAGCATCATCATCCATTGCAAAACACTTATTAATATCAGGACACAGAATCAATCAATATTAATGACTGTTTCACAATTATTTCATCACATAACTCGAATTCAAAGTTGGTTATTGAAGGTGATGGAAGCACTTTTGGGGATTAATCACATACATCCTAAACTATGTGTACAAAAAACAATAGACTTCAATTAATCTCACCTACCATGGACTGACTACTTGACCTATTCAAATATGATTGGTGATTAGTATGTACTTTTGTTTTTATATAACTGAGTAATTTTCATGACCTTTATTTTATTATTGTTAACCATGTTAGTTGTAAAGCGGTTGTAAAGAAACTACGAAATGACGATATCATCTCGCGAAATTTGTCTTCTTAATGCCTTATTTAAACTGTTGTGTTAAAAAGGACTATGAGAGTTAAACAGACTATGGATTGTACTGTTTTTAGAATGACTGTATAAATAAGTGACCTAAATTCAAAATACACGTAAATGTAATGAAAAATATCATCATGGATTCATGTCATGTTTTAATCATTATTATTATTATTGTTCCCTTGAATTCCGAGTGGAACTCAGGACATCTACAATACAACTCTATCACGTCCTATTCTCTGCTGTGTCCTCTCTTTAGCTAGACTTACGATTGCCCCCCCCCCCCACATAGTCATAGGAAGTGAAGTGGTAGAGCACGTTGACCGCTTCACTTACTTGGGAAGTACTATCAGCCCCAAAAGGGTTGATCTCTTACAGCACGGATTCAAAGGGCTAGTTTCGCATACGCCAGTTTACGCCGTCTCTGGCCAAGTAGATGGGATATCCGGCTGGCTAGCTGTCGATCAAAGGGCGGTTGTACTGCTCAGCAGTCCGCTCCGTCCTCCTTTATGGCTGTGAGTGAGACCTGGCCATTGAGAGTGGAAGACATGAAAAGATTAGCTGCCTGCGTTCTATCTCCCGTGTGAAGTGGTATAAAACGGTGAGCAATATTGAGGTTAGGCCTCGGTCGAGTGCTAGGTGAGGAAGGGAAATCAATTGACATGGCTGTGAAGCAACATCGACTGAGATGGTTAGGACATATGTTACGTATGCCTAGTCATCACCTTCCTTGACAACGGGCAATGTTAGCTGATATAGGGTCAGGCTGGAAAAGAGCTAGCGGCAGTCAAACCGAAACATAGCACGTCAATGAAATCTGCAACAGTCAATTTAGGCCACATAGGAAGGTGTAGACTTCCTGGTTGAGATCCTCGGGACAGTAAAAACCAATGGTTGGAAACAATTGGTGACATGGCTCAAAATCGTTCTCAATGGTTGGCGCAGATGCATCCACTTCCTGTGACTTATGATTTCCAATTAAACCGTTTTGTTCTTCGTTATTACTATTCTTTTGTCTCACACCTCTGTTTACTGTCTATATTATGTATTTCTTCTACTTTCTTCCCTTGCTTTGTGTGCTACATGGAGTGTGGCGACTTGAACTGCTGCACATCGGTGCAAAGTTCTACGTCGAAAACAGACAGGCAGACAGTCTGTCATCTCCTCCTCGCCAAACGATCCACTTGTCGCTTGCCATTTGGATTCCGATGGAGAAATGACCTGGTGGACGATGTTATTCGACGGTCTACTCAGTATGTGCTTGATTGATTTATCTCCATTTTTTCTGCATATTTGTTGAACAATCAATCGACTCTTCGTTGGTTTGTCGCCAGCCAGCCAGAGTTTCTTGTTGCTAATCCTTTCTGACCGGCCAACTGGCTATCTGATCTTCAGTATGGAGCCAGCCAGCGAAGGCTTCTGTGGCCGGCCTGTTGGAAATGCTGACTTTCATGACGCGCAGTGCAAGTCTCTGACTCATACAGAATCATTGACTGACTTAAAATCTGAATCGCGTTCTTTTATACTGAGTTCAGGTTGATGAAGGTGTCGTCCTTCGGCTTTCCGACTCTGACTATGATATTTTTATCCGTGTTGTCGCCTGTAGTTGAAACGATGCTGGCTGGCTAGATGTAAGAGGGAAGGAATTAACCCCCTTTCAAATTGTTTTCCGTTGATGGCGACTTGTGCTGGTCGTTATTGTTCCCTATCTAATCGAATGTCAGTTATTAGATAGTTGGAGGTAATCGGCCACAGGAAGCCTTGGACCCAGGGTTTGGTGCTAGTTGGCACTCGTCAGCAAGGCGTATCTGCAACCTTGAAGGAACTCATGTCCCTTCTGAGATTCGAACCCACGTCACCCAGTGCTGGCTGCGGTCAGAGACGTTACCACTGAGCTATTCGGGCTGGCTCGCGATTGACCTCCTGTAGGACTGTAGTGGGCATTTTGATTGGACACTAGTAACTAGTGTGACGTGTCTAGTCCTTTCAGTTAACATTGCTCAACAATGAAGTTGATGCCTCAGCATGCGTCACACATGTGTCCTAGCCGCCATTTTATCAATCGACTACCTACCTCATATAGTCTCATACTAGTTGATGTGAGTAGTATACAACTGCTCGTCGTCTCATGATCACCAACCGATGGTAGTATCAAGCATATCTCATATTGTCATATAAATAATTTAGGTTTCCATAGGCAACTGTAGTAAAATTTCAATTTTCTACAATTGCGTACATTAAGAAGTGGCGAATTAATTTACAAATCGTGAATTTAACTTTTTGTGTTACCAATTCGCCCAAGTAGAAGCTGAGTAACTGAACCAGGTAGACCGCTGGTGAACTCGATTGCCAAACGAGCAAAAACGGCCGTCTGGTGTTTGCGGCATCACTTCGCGATCTGGCTAACAAGCACGACTACTGCTACTACTACTTATCCCAATCAATCAGTAGCCTGAAGTTCAGTCCAAATGGTAACCCATAAAGACATAAATTGATGGATGAAAGTTGAATGGATGATGCGCATTTCTTTCTATTTGGGACTCGTCATCAGGACGTAGCTGCACTAATCAGTGAGTCAGGCATGGTAATGAGTAATTTAGAAAAAAGCTCAGCAATTGCACTACATGCACTAACACACAACTACATAATAGGGTGGGAGAGGGTTAAGATTCTAAGAAGTAATATAATAGCTAGGTGGAGAGTGAGAGAGATTGATTACTGAATCCTGCCTGGTTCATTGAGTCCACCTTCACCCAACACATGCGCATTAGAAGTGACTCAACGCAAATACCAGAGATATGGAAGATATTATTACCACATACATTATAACATTTTAACAAGTTACTTATTTATTTTGACTATAGAAACACTCGTCTTATTTCCCATCTGATTGTAATTGATCAATAACACTCATATTATTATTTCTGAATGTACATTATCCCATATTGATTTTTATTGAAATATTTAGTCAATTCCACTCATGTATATAAATGAAGGAAAAAGTTGTGTGAGTAACTTGATATGATTATTTTTTATTTTTTTAAAATTTCCTTCACGTTCCCCAGTGAAAAATAGGGTTTCAAGCTAGTGGCTTGAAGTTTCTGTAGCATTGCTTATTTTACAGGATGGGGTTGCTAGCCTCATGCTCAACCTATCCTCTTCACCAGCGTTATTTCTGGCTTAGAGAGGTAAAGGAGTCCGTCGGCCGGGGATCGAACCCCGGACCATGTGCATGGTTGGCAAGCGGCGATCAAACGAAAACATGGCACCAGTCAATGAAATCTACAACAGTTAGTTTGAGCCACGTAGGAAGGTGTGGACTGCCTGACTGACGGGTTGGGGTCCTCGGGATGATGGTAAGAATCAACGAAGGCTGAAAGACAATTGGTAATATGGCTCGAAATAGTTCACAATGGCCGGTGCAGATACATTCACTTTTTGTGATTTGCCAGTTACATCCAATCAAGCTCTATTGTTGTTCTTCCATATTAATATTCACTGTTTATTATCTCTCTTTTGTTGGGTCTCCCTTCTCTTGATTTGTGTGATAAATGGAGAAAGAGTAGGAACTTGAACTGCGCTCCTGCGCAAAATTCTATGTTGAAACCAGTCAGTCAGTTAGTTATGAAATGATGCATAGATTGTTTACATTGAAGCCGTGCATTTCGGATTGTGAGGGCGATTGTTACTTCCCGGCTGCCCACACCGTGGAAGTTGGTTGCGTGACCGCAGAGCCCAGGGGACAACTGCTTGAGGCCGGTCACACACGGCCTGTTTTTGTTTGTTCTTTTTAGTTTGGTGTGTCTCAGTAGCATATTTATCACTTCTGCCCTGTGACACGGCAGCAGGAAGCGCGGTCGTTGTTAATTCGGGCGCCGACCGATCCGGCATGATATTTTGTGAGTTTGTTTGAGTCATAGCACTGGATTGGGTAACTGCTTTTTGTCTAACCGCTATCCAAACAACCTTTCTGGCATGGTAGGACCTACAGGAACATAGCTTGTTGAGTCATTGCGGTGTTCAAGCCCGACCACCACGTCAAGGCAGCAGCTTTCGGTCATAGATGTTTACGATCTCTTTCTCACGTTAGGTGGTATAACAAGGCAAGTAATGTTGACGTTAGGCGTAGAGTGTTTGGCAGTGAGGGAAAATCAATCGAAGAGGCTATAAAGTTACGTAGATTGAAATGGCTAGGTCACGTGCTGCGCATGCCTAACCATCGCCTCCCCCGACGGGCATTACTAGCTGCTACAGGTGCAGGTTGGAAAAGAGTAAGTGGTGGCCAAACAAAAACATGGCCTCATCAATCCATGAAATCCTTGACAGTTAAACTGAGTCAGGTAGGGAGATGCAGACTTCCGGGTTGAGGCCCTCGGGACTCTAAGAATCAATGGCTGGAGACAATAGGTGACATGACTCAAAATCGCTGTCAATGGCCTTCGCAGATGTATTCAGTCTCTGTAATCTTTCATATTCCTTTCTACCATCACTCTTATACTTGTCAAAACTCTATTGATTCTCTTCACTCATCTTCTTGTCTACATTTGTGTGCTATTTGGAACGTGGCAACTCGAACTGGTGCACTTCGGTGCCAAGTTCTATGTTGAATCCAGAGAGACAGACATTTAAGCCGTAAAACAAATCACACAATTATAATGGAAAATGTAGTAATAAAGTCAACTTACTAGGATAGAATATACACATGTTTTAGGCTCAGAAAACGCCAAACTTATTTTACTGTTCGTCGAAGGTAAACACCTAAAGAAAATAAAGGCATAGAGAAAAATGTACATCATTAATCTATATATATGACATGTAGGCCTAATCAATTGGATAAGAGAAGTTACATGTCTTCGGAAATAATAGGATCTTAGGATTAAGTCCCTTGACAAATACATGTTATAGGATTTCATCATGAGCTGACACCGGCGAGAGTACTACTGGACAGCTGTTTCGTCAGTTTAGTTTGGGACTCTCCATCAGTACGCACCCACCCCACTGGGGTTCGAACCCAGGACCTTCTGGTTACAAGGCGAGCGAATTCGTAGACCATTATGCCACCGGGACCCGATCTAATGGCCATGAATTCCAACGTCTGCCAATTCACGACATAGCGCGACCGCTAGCCAATGTCTTCTCTGGCGAGTATTTGTCCTCGTACCCGACCTGCTGCAGCACCCTACCGGTCACGACTTCCTACTAGAACCCAGGTAAATACCTACCTGAATAGGGCCAGTGGCTAGTGAGCATCTCATTGATATTCAAGTATTGGTTTGTAGGAATTTGATTTGAGATTGCTAGTAGTAATCTTTTCCATATTTCTGGTAGGAGTGATGAGTCATTCCTATTGTACGTGTTGTGTGGAGATTCGATGAACAAAGATTCAGCAGTCAACCTGTTTCTCCATCTCTTTATATTACTTCTTAGAATTTTAACTCTGTCCCACCCACCCTATAGTGTGTTGATGCGTACAGTGCAATTGCTGACTTTTCTTTTTCTAAATTACTTATTTTCACAGAGTCAATCATTCTACACACTTAGCTAAATTCTTAAGTTCTGACAATCTGGTTATTCAGTTATATAAAACAAAAGTGCATACTAATAATCAAGCATATTTAAATAGGTCAAGTAGTCCATGGTAAGCGAAGGAAAGAAAATTCCAATGCAATTATTAATCTGAATAGAAATCCAGCATCATCCATCCATTGCAAAGCACTTATTAATCTCAGGTCACAAAATCAATATTAATGACTGTTTCACAATTATTTCATCACATAACTCTAATTCAAGTTTGGTTATTGAAGGTAATAGAAGCACTTTGGATTAATCACATACATCTTAGAATAAGACATTTAGAAGATAAATTTCACGAGATGATATCACTTCGTAGTTTCTTTACAACTGCTTTACAACTAACATGGTTAACAATGATAATAAAATAAAGATCATGACAATTACTCAGTTATATAAAGAACTAAAGTACATACTAATGGCCAATCATATTTAAATGGGTCAAGTAGTCAGTCCATGGTAGGCGAGATTAATTGAAGTCTATTGTTTTTTGTACACACAGTTTAGGCAGTATGTGATTAATCCCCGAAGCGTGCTTCCATCACCTTCAATAACCAACCTTGAATAAGTGTTATGTGATGAAATAGTTGTGAAACAGTCATTAATATTGATTTTGTAACCTGACATTAACAAAGTAGACTAATATTTCAATGACTAGGAGAGACGATGGAACCTTTAAGCGATCTATATTTCGTAAGCAGACATGGGGTGGACAGTATCTTGATTTCACCAGTTTTGTTCCTATCCCGTAAAAATGTTCTCTAGTGAAATGTTTGTTCTCAAGGGCTAGTAGAATATGCAGGAGTGACACATTAATGGATGAGTTCCGACATATACATTCAGTTTTATTAGCTAATGGTTATCCAGAAAACTTTATCACTTGTCACTGTAAAGAAAGACCACATCTGGAAAAGATAGCTTCTATACCAAAGAAAGCTATCTTTATAAAGCTGCCATTCAAGGATGACCAGATTATGCAGTTGACAGCTCAAATACTTCGGTCAGCCGTCAAACGCACATTCTACGCCGCCACATCTCTTTTTCTCACATGCCGAACATTTTCGGTCGCAATGTACCTACGATTAAAGGACGAAATTCTCTGGACTCTACTTCAAACTTTAACTTTGCCGTTCACCTGCAGTTGCGGTGACACCTATATAGGTAGAGCCAATAGAATGTTCCAATGTGGTCGTCGAAAAGAACATGTTAAGTAAAATGTTCCAAGATGGTTATTGAAACATATAGAAAGTCCTAATGCGACTAATCTGAATAGAAATCCAGCATCATCCATTGCAAAGCACTTATTAATGTCAGGTCACAAAATCAATATTAATGACTGTTTCACAATTATTTCATCACATAACTCTAATTCAAGGTTGGTTATTGAAGGTGATGGAAGCACTTTTGGGGATTAATCACATACATCCTAAACTGTGTGTACAAAAAACAATAGACTTCAGTTAATCTCGCCTACCATGGACTACTTGACCTATTTAAACATGATTGGTCATTAGTATGTACTTTTGTTTTTTATATAACTGAGTAATTGTCATGCATTTTATTCTATTATTGTGAACCGTGCTGGTTGTAAAGCAATTGTAAAGAAACTACGAAATGACGATATCATCTCGCGAAATTTGTCTTCTAAATGCCTTATTCAAATTTATCAAAGGGACTAATTGTTTTAATCGGACTGCCCCCAATCTACTAGTTTGACCTCACAGTCATTTCAGGGTATTTTGTAAATTATATTATTTTGTGTAATTGGGTCAACTTACAGAGTTTGTCCTACCTGAGTGAGTTTGTAGGTTTAAATGCCACCTTAATTCCTGCTTTATTGAGAATCCTACATAAGGTCCCCTACTTATATGGTAAAACTGTAGATGCCTTATATTCTCTCTTATTTATGTTATCATTATTAGTTTCACCATTATTTTTACTTTGCTTTTGACCTTTTCTGATCTTCCTAATGAATTTTATAGAATAGTTATTTGATGCCAACGCTTCTTCTATCTGTTTTATTTCATCATTTAGGTCTTTTCTTGTGCTACTTAGTGCTATTGCTAACGGATGAAATGAATTAAAGTCTAAATATCTATACGAATGCGTTGGCTTTTTATAAACGCCAGTGTGCAGTTTACGTTCTTCTGTTCGTTTTATTTTAAAATCTAACATCATAGCTAATTCTCCTTGTTCATTTCCCGATTCATGCATTAACACACAACCACACAATAGCATAGTGGGAGAGGGTTAAAATTCTAAAAAGTAATCTAGATAGGTAGAGAGCAAGGGAGGTTGATTACGTAATCTTTGTTCATAGAATCTACATCCAACACATGCAACAGGAATGATTCATCATTCATACCAGAAATATGGAAAATATTACTACCAATCATCAAATAAAGAGATGAGAAATAGTGATGGAATCATATAAATGAAGTTGGAAAGTTATGTGAGTAATGTCTTGATACGATTATGAGCAGCAATAAATTGTGCTCGAAACGTGATCATCAGTTAATATTACTGTATAATAGCACTGTGAAACTTTATCAAAATAAATTTTACCCATAATGGAGTTATACTGTACCAAAATGCTCAAGTTTTATCCTCATATCAATAAGAGGTGTGAACACATATAATAATAATAATAATAATAATAATAATAATAAATGCAATTAAAACGTTTGTGATTATAATCATAGTTAAGTATCAAATGGCAAAGCAACTAATGTCATATATAAAGAGTAATTCATAGGATATATAAATGCTGGGGAGGAGGGGTTAGTAGGCAAATATAAAACGTCACATAACAAGGTGTGAAATGTGATAAGATAGATTTCAGTATTGCGAAACAGCCGTAAGTTGTTCTCCATCTCTGTAAAAGATAAGCTGCCCTGTCTGGACGCCTCCATGAGCATCTATCAGTTCACCTGCTCTTGTGAAGCAAGGTACTTTGGCTGTAGCCAGGGAACACTTCTTTCGATACGGATACGAGAATATATTCCAGCATGGTTTTACACGGAGGAAAGCAAGGTTGTGTAAAAGTGCTATTCTAAAACCCTTGATCCAATTCTGTCTCTCAATCAACTCCAATCATGATTTTCAGATTATCTGTCGAATTCATGCTAACTTTCCAAGTTTTCTTCGTTCTCAACTTCTAAAGATAGCGGAGGCCTCGGACATTTAGAAATTCAAATCAGATGTTTTTGTACAAAAGAATTATGTACAGTGCCTATTTCTACCTTGACCGTAGACGCATAAACATTTATTTACTTATATTTTGTTTATTCAGTTAATCTGTGTATCTTTCCCTCATTACTACGATTACCATTGTTACTTTGAACTGTTTCCGGTATTATTTCACTTGTCCCATTTATCATTTTAAATCAAATTTCTTCTTTCTGAAATGGTAAATTCTATGCTATCAAATTTCACGTCATGTTACGTAACGTTTTATATTTCCCTAGAAATCTTGTAATTTTACACGCCCTTCCAACATCTATATATATCCTATGAATTATTCTACATATATGACATTAATTGTTTTGTCATTTGACGCTTGATATTTAACTGTGATTATAATCATAAACATTTTAATTGCATTTCATACTACTACTGTGGTGAGAGCTGGCTGCTAGCCAAAGTTGGTAGACAGTAATTAACGTCAATGTTTATGTCCCCAATATTGGTGGTGAGAAAATGATGAGAACAAAGGCTTTGCGTAGGCGGATACAGTTAGCATATGGATGATCTGACACAGCCAGCCACAAAGAGATGCAAGGTTAACTTTCTGTGAGAAACAACCAATCAAAAGGCTGTATTTTCTACTAACAATAATCTACAATAATGTACATTAAAATCTATAAATATGTGTTGATTTTCCTTAATAAACGATCTGTTGCCTGACCCTTGTCTTCTGTTGTTACACTACTACTACTATTATCATTTTTTTAATCTCTTCATGGGATATAATTTCCTAAAAACCTCATAATTTACGATTGTGTACAGCTTGGTAATAAATTTGTTAAAGAGAGTCTCTTTGCTGACTACTGTGTTCTTAATGTTACCATGGGAATTTTGATATGGTTGTGTTCTCTGAGCTGGATAGTTAATTTGCGAAGCTTTCATTGTCCCCTACTAGGCAACATCTTCAGCGCATACTTCAATTTGTCGAAGTGAGCTTTCAG